TGCGCAGCTTTTGCATAGTGCATCTGGCCTATGGGCCGGCAGTTTGACACCCCTGGAATAAAAGTTGGGGTAGAAGATGGAAGATGGAATAGAACAGAATAGAATGGAATGCAGAATAGAATAGAATAGAATATGGAATAAAACAAGGGTGTCAAACTCGCCATGTCATGTGACATGTGACGTATCACAACTTTTTTCCCCTTGCTGGTGTGCGCAGCTTCTGCGTGGTGCATCTGGCCTGCGGGCTGGTAGTTTGACACTCCTGGAATAAAAGATGGAATAGAAAATGGAAGATGGAATAGAAGATGGAAGATGGAATAGAAGATGGAAGATAATAGAATAGAATAGAATAGAATAGAAAACGGGTGTCAAACGTGCTGTGTCATGTGACATGTGACGTATCACAACTTTTTCCCCCTTGCTGGTGTGTGCAACTTCTGCGTGGCACATCTGGCCTGCGGGCTGACAGTTTGACACCCCTGGAATAAAAGATGGAAGAGAAGATGGAAGATGGAATAGAATGGAATGGAATAGAATGCAGAATGGAATGGAATAGAATAGAAACAGAAATTTTAGGCTCTGTTGTGATGATAAGTCAAGGACTACCTGCAATACCTGTCTAAACTCAACTAGGACTTGGCACTTTTGTCAACCTTGAAAAAACTGGACCCGCAGCCCAAGCCCACAACCAAAAACAATGCAAAACATTCAAAGAAAAGAAAAACCATCAAAAAAATATCACGATATGTGGGAGAGCACCCTGAGTTTTAGGAATAGACTTACAGCAGTTCATTTAGTGACCATTCAAAGTTACAACAGCACTGGAAAAAACCTGACATGACCATTTTTCACCCTTACGATCTTTGCAGCATCCCCATGGTCACATGATCAAAATTCAGAGGCTTGGCAACTGTCATGTACTTATGACGGTTGCTGTGTCCCAAGGTCATGTGATCTCCTTTGGGGACCTTCTGACAGGCGAAGTCAATGGGGAAGACAGATTCACTTAACAACCGTATTATTATTAATATTATTTATTAAACTCAGCGGATCGCGAATGGAGTGCAAAACCGGGCGGAGAGTCGCTCGTTTTCGCACTGCTGGCGGGCGGGATCCACCAGGGGGCGCTGCCCGGCGAGCCAAGCGCTTGGACATCCCGTCCCTGGCGAGCGGGGGAAGGAGGAGCACCGAGTCTTCGCAGGAGAAGGAAAGGGCCATCAGTAAGAGAGGCCTCTCTAGGAGCAATGCCTTTTTCTCTTTAACCCTTAGATTGCCCGTAGAAGAATGCGCAGGCGCGAACCTGCTCTCCAAGGGAGGGCGGAGCTGCGCGGAAGGCGGAGCCGGCGTCCTTTCCCAGGTCGCTGGGTGGAACTCGGAATTCCGGGTGAATGGGAGGAGCTGGGACTCTTTAACCCTTAAGGTTGCCTGCAGAAGAGTGCGCAGGCGCGAACCTGCTCTCCAACCCTCGTGGCGAGGGCGGAGCTGCGAGGAAGGCGGAGCTGAGGAGCTGCCAGGGGGCGGAGCTTCGAGGAAGGCGGAGCGCGCGTCCTTCTCCAGGTCGATGGGGTGGAGCTCGGAATTCCTGGGACTCCAACCCTTAAGACTGCCCGTAGAAGGGTGCGCAGGCGCGAATCTGCTCTCCACTCCTAATGGGGAGGGCGGAGCTGCGAGGAAGGGAGGTCCTTCTCCAGGTCGGTGGGTGGAGCTCGGAATTCCTGGGACTCCAACCCTTAAGACTGCCCGTAGAAGAGTGCGCAGGCGCGAATCTGCTCTCCACTCCTAATGGGGAGGGCGGAGCTGCGAGGAAGGGAGGTCCTTCTCCAGGTCGGTGGGTGGAGCTTGGAGTCCGGGGGTGGGTGGGAGGAGCCTGGAGCCCGGACTCGAGCCATCGACGGATCCGGACGACGGTACTCTTCCCCCTTCTTTGGAGCTTGCTCTTTTCAAGCTTGGGGCGTCCCCTGCAGTCTCAGGTTGGAATGCTTTTATTTCCCACCCCCCAAAAGCAGCTGTGAAAGGTGTGTGTGTGGGGGAGCGAAGAGAGACAGGCAGAACTCCGTCTGGTTCAGCTCAGCGTCGCTCTTTCCTTGCAATTCCCAGGCAGACAGCCCCGCCAGGCTCGCAAAGCCCTTTCTCGCTGGCCTCTCTGGAAGGAAGCATTCAACACCCCCCCCCAGCCAGCCTATGACTGCTCCATTCCTATTCCCCCCCCCAAGGCCTCCTTTCCCACGCTGGGTAGGGGGTCCTGGCTCCCTGGTGGGGACCCTGCCCGGCGATGGTTTTCCCTACCCAAAGCAAAATTTTGGGGTATAAAGGCCGGAACATTTCGGGGAGGGGGGTGCTGCAGGAAAGGCCAGAGCATTTTGGGGGTGGGAGGGCTGGAGAAAAGGCTAGAGGGTTTTTGGGGTGGGGTGGCTGGCATTTTTGGGGTGCGGGTGCTAGAGGGAAGGCCAGAGCACTTTAGGGTGAGGGGCTGGCATTTTGGGGGGGGGTGAGAGTGCTGGAGGAAAGGCCGGAGCTTCTGGGGGGGAGGGGGGTGCTGCAGGAGAGGCTGGAG